GTTTGATGAAKRRATGAAAGGAGAAGAGTTTGAACAAGGTGAGATCTCARAAGWTTTCYGGGAAGAGGAATATGACGGATTTCACCTAGAAATGCGACTTCTTCTCTCCGGGGATAAGCGAGAAAGGGATGTTAGTGAAAAAAATCTTCGTATGAGAGATCACTACATACTGAGGGGAGACCATCTCTTCATCAGGGATAAAATAGGACCTCCCAGGAGAGTCATTTGTGACAGGAATCGGCAAATCGATGTCATCGCAGCTCTTCATGACGGACCCGTAGGTGGTCACAAGAATTTTGTCACTACCATCAAGAAGGTGATCGAACTGTACTTTTGGGAGGGTATGTACGGGATGATTCGAAAGTACTGCAAGTTGTGCGTCCATTGCCAAATCAGGTCTCCAATCAAATACAAGAAACCTCTACATCCAAGGTATATGAAGGATGTAGGGGCAGTGATCCACCTGGATCTCCTGGCAATGCTATTGGGACTTGAAGGTTATAATTATATCTTTAATGTCCGAGATAATCTTACAGAATTTGTTGATGGAAAGGTCATCCGGACCAAGACTGGAGCAGTCTTGGCCGAATGCATCAAAGAGTATTACCTCCGATATCCTTTCGTGGTGGAGTTTAGAATGAACAAGGGATCTGAGTTTACGTGTGGAGAAGTGAAGGAACTGTTTGACGATCTTGGAGTTATTGCCAAGTATACGACCAGGGCACATCCTCAGGCAAATACATCTCTTAAAATGGGACACAGTTCTATCACTAATTTGCTAGCAAAGTGGACAGCTGGGAAGCCAAACCTGTGGCCGAAGTTCCTGCGAACAGTGTTCTTTGTCGAGAACATCACGGTCACGAGAACCACAGGTTATACCCCTGCAACCTTGTGGTATGGAAGACACGCCACTTTTTCGATAGAAAGTTTCTTGAAGACTTGGCGAAGACAGGATCTTGAAAATGACCTGCCTCTTGAGGACTTACTTGACATCAGAGCTAGGCAAGTCAATATCACAGAAGAAAGGATTCAGGAAGCAGCGGAGAGAGTGGTTGACAGTCGTGGGAAGGACAAAAAAAGATGGGATAAATCTTCGCGCGTACAAGAAGAACTATTGGAGATCGGAGATATAGTGCTATTGTATGACTCCGTACTTGAAAAACAATGGTCAAGGAAACTGTACAAAAGATGGTTGGGACCCTTCAGAGTCAGACGCCGAGGAAATCATGGAGCCCATAAGCTTGAAGAAATGGATGGAACACCAAGGAAAGATTGGATCTCAGGATCTAGGCTGAAGAAATTCAAGATGAGACAAGAGGTGAGTTGATAAAAGTTGGAAAGGAAAAACCTGATGATCTTGTAGGAACTTGTCATGGCATTTCCTTTGCGAATATTCTATTGTTAACYGACTGCTGACTCGGCCTGTTATCTGCCACTCCCTTTTSTTTTTCTGTGTGCAGGCGTGACCCGTGAAGCAGGCARCCWTGTCACAGAAGGGAGGGGTGGCGGGTCCTTCGAGGACAACTCCTRGGAGAGAAGRACGAAAGAGGATGCARCAGGTAACAAAGGATTCCCAAGGGATGTCGATCTACAAAAAAGGGTCCGGGACAATTTGAGGGTATTCATAAGGGAGTTTGAAGAATATGCCTTCAATAGGGAGTGAGACACTCAGGTCATGTTGCAGAAGGTGGCAGGATTGGGAGAGTGCAAAGAGGTGATAGATGAGATTGCCTCCGACTATTTGGGGTGGATGACCTTCAAGGCTGAAATGTGGGCTAAGTATGGCGATTTGACGAGAGATGAGATCGAAGATGATGTCATTCTCGATGGTACAAACTTGGAGGACTTTGAGGACAATATCAACCTTTGTGCAGAAAAAAGAAGGTGGGGTGAGAAGAAGAAGTTAGAACAAGCGATGAAGAAAATAGCGTCAAGGGAATATGAGGCAGTGAAAAAGGTCAGGGAGGAATCGAATACCTGGGGAGGTTTCCTTGTCAAGATGAGAAAGGCTTATCCCTTGGAGGTACAACAACAAAAGAAGAAACAACTACTTCAGGAACAGGGATTGTGGATTGGCAAGAGAGAAGAAAGGATAGGAAAAAAAACTTAAAAAGATAATAAAGGAGGCCACACATCTCCTCAACAGGAGGGTGACGAGGCTAGGGCTCAAGGTGGAAGTGGCTCAATGGAGGAGCGCATCGAGAATGAAATGGAAGGCAGTGGCATGCCTCGAAAGGTGAAGAAGGGAGGAGAGAAAATGAAAGAAGCAAAAGGAAAGGAAAAGGATGAGAAGAAAGTCAAAGACGCTGGACCGTCAGAAAATGTTGAAACAGCTACCTCGGGGGAACCTCCAAAGAAACAAGGTTCAAGGAGATTGACAGAGGAAGAGAGGCAAAAGAGAGAGGAAAACAACAAGGAATGGAGGAGTCAAGCTGTGACCTTGTAGAAAGAACAAAAGTTGCCTTTAGACGCGCTCTGGAGCCTGAAACTGGAAAAGATACTACTCTCTGAGATTGTGGTCAGTTTCAAATTGGCTTCTGATGTAAACCTATTAATCCGTTTACATTAAATGCTCAAGGAAGATTGTGAATGGTTCCATGAAAGGGAAGCTGAAGTGACCGATAAGTTGAAAAAGATGGAGGAAGGAAAGAGAAGGGAATTGAAGATCCCCATTCAGGAACTCCAAGACAGGATAAGAGAGAAGACAGAATTGCTCACGCAAGGGTTGGCAAGCCATGTTCCTGAAATTTTGAAGGAGATTCAAAGATTAAAAGCAAGGAAGAGAAAAATGATATGCAGTGGACAAGGATGGAGAAGGAAGTGAAAAGTTTGAAAGTTGAGATAGAAAAGACAAAGATTGAGCGGGGGAAGTTGGAAGTGAAGGTGGAGGCACTAAGCACAACCCTTGACAACAAGAGTAAGGAGGTGGAGACAGGGAAAATGGAAAGAAAAAGGTTGGAAAGATAAGTTGGTAAGTTGGAGGCAAAAGTAAGTGAGCAAGGTAAGGCGATTGAGTCGGAAAAGAGTGAAAGGAAGCAGGAGAGTGAGAAATGGAAAAAGAAATGGAAAGAGGTGGAAGAGACATTGAAAAGATCCAAAGTGGACATTCAGGAGAAGGTCGAAGCAGGGGACATTAAAAAGGTTAATGACAGAGAGAAAAATTCAAGGCAGAAAAGAGAAATGGGGGAACTTAGTGATAAAAAAGATAAAGGACTCGGAGTAATGGTTGAAAATGTCACCTCGCCTGATGAGAATGTTAAAAAATCCTAGCTGACTGTAAATGGCATGAGACAGGATAAAAAAAGATCTTATCTGGAAATGTTGATCGGGGCAGCATCTCAGGATCTTCCATCATCTGCGAAGAGGACAAAAGAGGAGGAAAATAAGTTATATTGGTATTGTATGAAGGGAATCCATAAGAGAGATGACTGTCCCAGATTTATGACAGATAGGGCAAAGAGGTTGGTTAGCCTCGATGAGAACAACAGACTCATCGATAGAAAGAGAAATCTGATTAAAAGGACAAGGGGATAAAAATTCTTTGGTCAAATTGATTTTCATGTGTATATTTTTAAATGATCATCCCTCATCCACTTATGGAAGTCAGTCTGAGGGACTAAAAATTACCAAGCCTGGTGGAAAATTGACATCGTTGGGACGTAACTCCCAACGTGGGCTGCTGACCAAGTATAACCAGGCAGCGGGCCTTACGATAATGGTCTGGGACTAAATTTGAGGGGAGAGACTCCCTAATGATAGTATCGGTTCAGGTAGATATTGCACGGATCGAGAGTCAGGTCTATATTTTGATAGGAGGTATTTATCCTGTATTGCGTAACCAATGCAGGTACCACCATTAAAATAACAACATGGTGGGCCACAGATCAGGCCTGATCAACCGACTGTGCTGGGTTGAGACCAAGGTCGTCGATCCCCTCACA